TTCAAAATTGAGCCTATTTGTGATTGTAATATAATCTACTGTCCTTTGCTCAATATTCTGTACCTCGGTAGTTTACCTGAATCGATGATTTTGAACTTTGCAAGCATGCTTCTTTCCCTTACTCGATACGGTTTTTCATTTCCGATGTATTTTTACCTCCCTATGTCGATTTTACATTTTTCCCCGATAATTTTACATAAAGTCGTAGCAGTAAAATTGATGTTTGTGGTTCCAAATTGAGCTTTATTGTGGTCTACTAAAATATTGCTGAATAAAACTTTTTGTGAATTTATAAGTCATGAATATAACATTAATGATTACTTCCAAATGAATTCTTTAATTTTGAAAAATGTACCGGTTGCAGTACTTCATTTGAAAAAGCTTCGTTTTCTGAGCACAACGATATTTTTTTGATCCCATTTACCTCCATCTCGATTTGTAAAATTTCAACTTCACTGTTTTAAGCAAGGCTCACAAACTGACCCCAACAAACAATTTCCTATTGAAGAAACGACTTCTTGACGATTTTATTCCACTTCATGCTTAATAATACTTGTACTATTTTTAATAATAACTTCTGTTCAGGCTTTGTTCGCACAAATCTGGAGAATTTGTTCAACCACAACATCGAAATATTTGGTGTTGAATAAGGTATGTCAGAAGCTTTTATTCGACTTACAAAAGTTGTAACAGAGCTTATTCGATCAAATTTTTGATTATTCAGCGTTTATTAAACATCATTACTTCCTTAAACCGCGATGGTATAAAGGTGTGTATAAACGCACAGAGCAGGATTTTCTCGTTAGTGATTGTTGTGTTATTATTTCTGTCGAAGCACGCACCCACAGGATCTAGTAAATTTATTACATACATACATACACACATGTCGTTATATGGGATTCGAACCATGACTTTCCGATCACCAGCCGCTTGCCTTGCCATCTGAGCTATCCTAGAATACATCATATGGGCAGCTAAATAAGCAATAAAAGCTTGAATCTGAAAACCTATCACCTGGAAGTAGTCGAAACTCTAGCTAATTCAAGGAGATGTGAGAATGATTAATTCATTCATAGTTGTTTAACATTAGACCAAAGTTACCTCTCCATCTCTCTAATTTCTATGGAAAGGATGCTATTCTTTTCGATAGATCTATGAATTGGTTGTCGTGAGTGATACGATTTATGATTACGATTTAAATTAATTAGGCGTAGAAAATAAATAAAAAAAGGGTTGAGGCTGGGATTGAACTCGCGACCTTCTACTTGGCAAGCGGAAACGGTAACCACTATGCTACCAATTTCGTTTTGTTGTTAGCCTGAAGCAGTATTGTGGAATAATGAATGAATACGCCGTTTGTAAAGCATTTACAAAGCATGCAATTAAAACATGGACGCATAGTGGTATAAGAGCTATTATGCTGACTGTATTCACCTTTATTCAGCAATATTGTTAAGAAATGCAATGGAATCTAGTAATGGAGCTAGAAATCAATTATTAGACGCATTAAAGCATGTTATTAAATCAATTGAAACAGTCGGATTAAAGCGTCAATGTATGTGCAAATTACACTTATTCAGTATGTTATTAGATCAAACTTCTGGTTCTAAATCAGGAAGACAGTTAACGTTTATAAAGCTTTTAACAAGTAAATTAATCATATCAGAGCAAACGGTGCAATAAAGGCGCATCTTTTGATCTCAATGAGCTTTTTTCAGCACATAATTCGACATCCTGTTTTATTCAGCATTGTGCACTGTTATACAGCATTTATTCTATGTGTATGCTTATTTGTGACTGTGAATTGTTTATTGGGACAGCTCGCTTCCATACAAAGTACAGCCGAAGGGCGCTAAGATGGTGATTTTTGCTAATGTAATCGAACTTATTTAAGATAGTTCTAGATTGTGATCCAAAATTGATTCATTGACTCATATTCAAGAGTTTTTTTTCCTGGGATTTCACGGTTTTTCCCCGGAAAATTCGGCTTACTTTTGAGTAAATCTGGAGAAATATCAATAAAACCTGAATAGAACCTAAAAAAGCATGAACATAGTCTTGTGGGGAAAAGAAATTAAGAAAATCGTAACTAATAGATCCTAGCTTTTAGTTTTCGGATTTGAAAGGTCGTCGGTTGCAGTTACTTACTTACTGAGCAGAAATACGTGGTCCCAGGTTCTTTCATATTAAAGAGATTTTTGGTCAAATCGCTTGTTAATCGCGTATTTTGCTAAACTTGTCGTCGTCGGTGCCGGGTTTGAATGGTTACAACAAATCGAATTACGGTATAATGTTATATGAGGGGCCTGGTGGCCTTAGAGCGACCGTTTTTGCTTACTGAGCAGAACATCATGAGTCTAATCTCAGGCCCATCCACATTCGTCAATCGTTTTATTTGTTAATATGACTACATGGTAATAACAGCAATGTTTAAAAAGGAGCTCGTTTGCCTAGTGGCAAACGTTTTTGTTTACTGAGCAGAAGGCCGTGGGTTCAATCCTAAGCTCCTTCGCGTTATATGATCGTTAGGACATCAATTCAGCTTATCGTTTATCAAAACGAACCATGTTGCAAATCCAAATCTCTTACCCAACATCCCAGTGATTCCTCGTGGAAGTGCAGAGGACTCCTCGGCTTCCATCAAAGCGAGTGTCATGTCAACACATTCCTACCCATTCCTTTCTTGACCTGCGTTCGGGCCTGGTATTGCCTAGTTTGAGATCACCAGTTTTTTACACATTGAGGATGATTGCTAGTCCCAAGCATCGTCTATTGGTTCTCTGTGTAATTACAGCTGATCTGGCAATGACATAGTAGCATCCGTGAACGGTCAATCATGCCCAAAATTAACATCTCCTCTACTTTCGGCCGGCTTGGAATGTCCCAACAATAAAATATTGTTTAATAATTTTAATACTAATAAATAAAATATTATACAAACCATGAGCAAGCGATCAAACGTGCTATAATTTTTGAACGAGAACACATATATTTTATTAATTTTCTCCTCAAGTTTTTCAAAAATTTTGAAGGGGGGAGGGAGAGGAAAGGGTTGGGACAAAAGTTAAAGTTATGATTTGCTCCGGATTTATTTTAAAATAAGTAGCTGAAGTGGTTAAGATAGCTTTTTACCACCCATATAGTTTTTCCGGCTTGCATCACTTTGTATGCATGATTCAAAATAAAATTTTGTTCAAATGTGAAGTGTTTTTGAGTGCCATTAAGGATACACAATTCCCTTGATATTGGGGAAAGTTACAGCTCAAAAAGTTAAAAAAAAAACCATTAAGATCAAGCCACAGTCAAACATATAAAAGGCACTCGCCTCTTGTTCAAAGAGGGCGATTTTAACGGGATTTTTATTTTTTTAAAGCATGGGCCTAAGTGGGCCTGATTAGGTTGCTGATATACGTTGCTATTATCCGAAATTTTCAAAGCTCTGATGTCAAGTTCTGCAACGAATTTTCTCAGCAAGTTCCATAGAAACCATAAGCTCCCGATAATGAAACGGTACTTTCCTATGTTATTGATGTACCTAGCGTCTCCCTCAGCTGTATTGTAGTCTCCATAGAAACCAAACACGATGGTATACAAGAGGAGCCTGTGAGTTATGAAAGAACTGATATGAATTCTAAGCTTATAATATAAATTTTAGGTGAGACGTCAAAGTCAAAAATAAAGAAGCTTTAGCCATCTTGTGCTAATGTGGCTGTAGGTTTCAGCTTAAGCAAACTTTCAGTCCGTTTCTTGGGAGGATGTATCAAAATATATATAACATAGGAGATTTGCTTTCCATAAAGAAATGTTATAGGATAGAGAACTAATTCGGCATAAGCGCAAATTTAAAGGCGCAGCTACAAAGCAAGACCATGCTGGAGGTGGCTGGGTTCAATTCTCCCGGTCCGGTCTAGGAATTTTTTCGGGCTGGAAAATTTCTCGACTTCCCTGGGCACAGAAGTATGATTGGACTTCCAACACAATTATACTAATGCAAAAATCTTACAGGCATCGAAAGCTCTCAATCCATAACTGTGGAAGGTCATCTAGAACACTAAGTTGAGAGCACGCAATAAGCTAATATGCGATATGCAATAGTAAGCTTGAAATGCGAAGAAGAAGAAGAAGCATATTTCCGTCAAATCAAGCAGAAACATCAAACAGGGGAAATGGATGTAATGTCGGCCTAAATGCCCCTATTTTGGGCCCATATATAAATTCAGCAATCGACTAAATTTTCAAAAGCGACCTACAATATCCATTAGTATCGTCCCAATGACGCGTTCATCTAGATTAAATTGATAAATAGCAGATTTTTAGCGATGGACTCAATCTTAGATCCATTGGCCCAAATTAGAGCCATTTCCCCTATATCAATGATTTCGACGTGAACGAATCAATCATACGTTTGGTACGACAGTTTCAAAAGTGCAAAACAAATTTTATAATAACACATGATATGAAAATTTGCATCCATTTGTCTGCCTTCATCCGTATGTCAAAGTGACTTTGTTTGGACGGAATTGAAACTTGTATGACGGAATTGAAATCAAGATGCAATGTTAAATTTTTGACAATAACTTAACAATATGAGACTCTTAATCAAATCTAACGGTACGTATGGAAAGGAAATTACATTTAGAAGTAATATTTGATAGAAACATTCCGTTTTTTGTTCAAAGCCGTACGATAAAGAGAGGTAAAGTGTGCTTAGTATGACGAAAATTAGGTCTTTACCCTATGATTCACATGCATCTCAAATATCTTGAGATACATCATAATAGAGTCGAAATTTGAATCAAACATTGCTTACCCCATAGCTTCCATGCAATGTGTACATCAGATTGAAACTTGGCAACATTTTCATTGCATCTTGACACTTGCCCAGATTTCAATACACATACACAAATAGCCCGGTAACATTATACGTTTGTTTCTCGTTTAGTTTCGTTGCTTTCCCCTACAGTATCAATAGGTCAATCAGTTTCAGTTTTCATTACAGTAGGTTGGTTTTAGTTTTGGTAGGTTTGATATTATTCTTATATTTTAATAACAAGATTGTCCTTCAATTCCCTTGCCAAAATTCTCTCTACTCGTTAAGCTGTGGAAATTTATTGTTACATAAAAAGCATTGAACTTTTAATGCTCATAGCAAGCCTCTGATAAGTGACGTTCAGGTCCAAAGTCCATTTTTATTTCACATTCTCATAAGATTAAGTAGTTCATGTAGATTGTTTCATATCTTATTTTTTTTTATTATTGGAATCAAATTATTCAAAGATAATTTATCTCTATTTCAGTTACTCTTAAATAATGTTGCGATCGATTGTCCGTTCTGTATCCCGGCTCAGCGTTCCGGGGTCGCGTTCCTGCAGCAATGCCTCGGATAAAGTGGTCCTTGCCGAAGTGGACGATAAAACAGGTTATGCCACAGTTACGTTAAACCGGCCACCGGTTAACAGCCTCAACTTGGAGCTGCTTACTGCACTTTCCGAAACGTTGGATGATTTACAGAATAATAAATCTCGGGGAATGATTTTGACTTCGGTTCGTTGCATCTGCTACAACTATTCTAGCTTATCATATATTTCATACGATTATTTTTAGTCTTCCAACTCCGTCTTCAGTGCCGGTTTGGACATTTTGGAGATGTACAAACCCAAACAGGAAAGGATGAAACAATTCTGGACCACTCTGCAAGATGTTTGGTTCAAACTGTACGGATCGCCGTTCCCAACCGTGGCTGTCATTAACGTAAGCATGTGTACTATTGTCATACCTTGTATGGTCTCAAAAATGAACAATTCTTTGTAGGGTCACTCCCCGGCTGGTGGTTGTTTGCTATCCATGTGCTGCGAATACCGTGTTATGCTGCCCAATTTCAGCATTGGTTTAAACGAAACACAGCTGGGAATTGTTGCACCAACGTGGTTTCAGGCAACGATGCGAAACACTTTATCGCGTCGTGATGCGGAACTGGCATTGACCCTGGGGACGCTTTTCAGCACCGAAGAAGCCCTTAAAGTAAGACATTATTCTGATTTTGCGTTGAATTTCGGGTTTAATTTCATACACTATCGATTCAGGTTGGATTGATTGATGAAGTAGCGGCTAACAAAGAAGAAGGAATTGTGAAAGCGGTCAGCTTCCTTGACCGTTTTAAGAAGATTTCACCGCAAGCAAGATCGATGACAAAGCAGGCACTTAGGAGCAAAGATATAATGGAATTGGAAGATAACAGATTGCAGGTTTGTAGAACTACGGAATTCTTATAGGAACATTGTGATGGCGAAATTTTTTCTTTTCTCACACAGGATGTCGACCTGTTTGTTTTTGCTGTATCGCAGCCGAAGGTTCAGAAAGGCCTTGAAGTGTACCTGGAGGCATTGAAAAAGAAAGCAGCTAAATAGTTATTAATTTTAAGCATTTTCAGGGGCATTTAAATGTTTTTATACTGTTTATTATACACATAAAAGTCAATAAAAAATATGTATACATGAACTTCGACTGCTTCATATGCTTGAAAATGTCTTCCACCTTTCCCCTTCCGGTTGCCGTATAAAACTCATGTCAAGGAAGCTGTTTAAAGTCTGCCTTGACGTAGGTTTCGTCGTCGGCAATCGAACATCGTCAGCATCGTCGTGTACATATTCCAGCATCGTGGTTTGGCCGTCTGGTTTTGTTTATCATCGCGATTTGGAGTCATTACCTTTTTATATGTCGACAGTCCGGCTCGTTTTTTAGCTCGATGCACGGTTATATACGACACTCCCAGCTTGTTAGCGACATCTCGAACGGAAAGGTTGTGGTTCCGCTTGAAACCGCTGGCCACTCTTTTTGTCGTCACTTCGGCTTCCTGACTGTCCACAAACATTCCCCGAAAACACTTTTTAATACGTTGGTGACCACTTTTAACGGTTTTTCACGATGCGCGTGCAAAATTTGAATGCGTTGCTCCTCTTGCCATTTTGATAGCTGAAATGCAAATTTCAAAATCAAAATTGAGGCATCATTCTGCTTGCACACACCTACAACATGAGGGTTTTTTTTTAGGTTTTTTAACTTCTGGATTAAATGAAATGCGTCAAGTTTTAGTCGACCAACTTTTGATCGTAACATCCTTTAGTCTAAGGCAAGGTTGCAAAGACTCATTTCAGCTAAAATAATGTTTTTCGGAATAATAAAACCAAAAGATGGTATGATGGCATGTTTTACTTGTAACTTACAAGAAGAGGTTACAAAGTATGCGTTGGAAACATAAAACCTGTAAATTTTGCTTTCTATGAGTCACAATCAGCGATTTGCTGATCGCTGAGTGAGTGAGTGAGTGAGTGAGTGAGTTTGTGAAAAATCGCTGATTGTGACTCTCATGAAGTGAAATAAACAGGTTTAATATGTCAAACACATTCTTTGCAACCTCTTCTTGTATCCTACCAATTCAAAATTTGATCATGGCATCTAATTATTTCATAATTTAGAAAAACATTGTTTTAGCTGAAATGAGTCTTTGCAACCTTGGTCTAAGGGTCTTGAATTGTTTCAAGGTTAAGATTGTTTTTTTTTCTGGAGAGTGGATGAAGTTTATCTTTTTCCCGATATTTGTCAACAAAATTCATGAGCTTTTCCCCGTATTTCTCCGGTGAATTAGGATTCTCGGATTTTTCTAGGATCATCCGATTGTCTGGTCCACTGGTTAGCCTGAGTTTGTAAATAAATACAGTCGAAGCTCTTTATAGCGACATCGCAGGGGGCTGTCGTTTTAGAGAACTGTCGTTATAAAAGATAGTCGTTATATAGAATTTCAATGTCGTTATAAAGAGAGAAACGTTACTCCATGCTAAACAATCAAAGTATATTTTTAGATGATTGCAATCGATTTTTAACAATACAATACATATCGTTTAAGATTAAACCCATTCCATTCATTCGTCCCTTACACCGTTTGAAAAAATGACCGCTTTATTTGGTGTAAATTTAGACGATATTTCGTGTAAATTTGAGCTCAATAACGCTTAAATTAGCAATATTGTATGCAAGCTTATAAATGATTTCGTTGTTTATGCCAACTGTAGCTCAAAATAAAACGAGAGGAGATTTTACGCGAAAGTTAAAATTCAGAATTTTTGTCTGTGTAGAACCTGTTTTTTTAGAGAATGCGAAACGCGTCATCACCGATTAACGAAGACAAGGAGTACTCGGACAGTTGGATATTCAGCTTCGCGCGGAAAGTTTGCCCGGATTCGGTGTCAGTTCAAACCAACGTTCGTGATCGTCCGTCGGGTGATAACGAAATAGATTCCCCGTTTTCGATGGTGGAATTCTCACTTGCTCTCCTTTCATGTAACAATTCAGCTCCAGGAATGGATAGAATCAAGTTCAACTTGCTTAAAAATCTCCCAGATGTCGCGAAGAGACGCTTGTTGAACTTATTCAATCAATTTCTGGAGCACAACATTGTTCCGGATGACTGGAGGCAAGTAAGAGTTATCGCCATTCGAAAACCTGGTAAACCCGCGTCGGATTATAACTCGTACCGTCCCATCGCGATGCTGTCCTGTATACGGAAATTGTTGGAGAAAATGATTCTTTTTCGTCTAGACAAATGGGTCGAGTCGAATGGTTTACTTTCAGATACGCAATTTGGATTTCGGAGAGGCAAAGGAACGAGCGACTGTCTTGCGTTGCTTTCAACTGAAATTCAACTGGCCTATGCGCAAAAACAGCAAATGGGTTCAGTTTTCTTGGACATTAAGGGGGCTTTTGATTCTGTTTGTATCGATGTCCTTTCGGATAAACTCCACGATAGTGGGCTTTCACCAATTATGAACAACTATTTGAGCAACTTGTTGTCTGAGAAATATATGAGCTTTTCTCATGGAAACTCGACAACTTCACGAATTAGTTACATGGGTCTCCCCCAGGGTTCATGTTTAAGCCCCCTTCTTTATAATTTTTATGTAAAAGACATTGATGGTTGTCTTGATGAAAATTGCTCGCTAAGGCAGCTTGCAGATGACGGCGTTGTATCCGTTATAGGGCCAAGTGCACCGGACCTGCAAGGACCATTGCAAGATACCTTAGACAATTTGTCTACTTGTGCTATGAAGCTGGGTATCGAATTCTCTCCGGAGAAAACTGAGTTGGTTGTTTTTTCTAGGAAGCATCATCCTGCACAGTTACAGCTTCATCTAAAGGGTAGAACAATCACTCAAAGTATATCTTTCAAGTATTTAGGTGTCTGGTTTGATTCCAAAAGCACATGGGGAAAACATATTGCGTATGTGAAACAAAAATGCCAACAAAGAATCAATTTTCTTCGTACAATCACTGGAACTTGGTGGGGAGCACACCCGGAAGATCTGATCAGGTTGTACCGAACAACCATCTTGTCGGTTCTAGAGTACGGTAGCTTCTGCTTTCAATCCGCGGCGAAAACACATATCCTGAAGCTGCAACGGGTTCAATACCGTTGCCTCCGAATCGCGCTTGGCTGTATGCACTCGACGCATACGATGAGCCTCGAAGTACTCGCGGGTGTTCTCCCACTGACAGATCGTTTCGCGGAACTGTCCTTCCGGTTTCTTATCCGTTGTGAAGTAATGAACCCATTAGTAATAGAAAACTTTGAGAAGCTGCTCGACAGAAATCCTCAAACAAGATTCATGAGTCTCTATTACGAGTACATGACGCTGGAGATTGGCCCTTCTTCATTCAATTCCTCTCGTGTTTGCCTCCAAGACTTTTATAGTTCCTCTGTAAATTTTGATCTGACCATGTTGCAAGAAATCCGTGGAATACCAGATCACCATCGATCGATAGTTGTTCCCTTAATTTTTGCAAACAAGTACCACCATGTTAGTAACAATAAGAGTTTTTTCACAGATGGGTCAACTATAAACGCTTCCACTGGATTTGGAGTATTCAACGAATTTCATAGCGCCTCATATCAACTGCAAAAACCCTGTTCCGTATACGTTGCGGAACTAGCAGCCATATTCTACGCAGTAGAGCAAATTGCCTCACTACCATCTGATCACTATTTTATTTTTACTGATAGCCTTAGCTCGTTGGAGGCTATTCGATCAATGAGGCCGATGAAGCACTCCTCGTATTTCCTGACGAAATCCGAGCAAAATTGAGTACTTTATCTAACTGCTCCTATACTATCACCTTAGCTTGGGTCCCATCTCATTGCTCAATTCCGGGTAATGAGAAAGCGGACTCGCTAGCTAAGGTGGGCGCTATGGAAGGCGATATTTTTGATCGACAAATCGCCTTTGCGGAATTTTTCTCAATTACCCGTCAGCACGTCCTCACCAACTGGCAACAAAAATGGAATGAGAGTGATCTGGGAAGATGGTTACATTCTATTCTCCCACAGGTGTCGAACAAGCCATGGTTCAAAGGATTGGACATGAGCCGTGACTTTATACGTGTCATATCAAGGCTCATGTCCAATCACTACTCGTTAGACTCGCATTTCTTCCGAATCGGGCTCGCAGGCAGCAATTTGTGCGCTTGTGGTAGTGGCTATCACGATATCGACCACGTGCTTTGGTCATGCACCCTACATTGTGTTGCTAGATCCGAGTTATCCGCATCCCTCAGGGCCCGAGGAAAACAACCTATGCGGCCCGTTAGAGACATCTTGGCGAGCCGAGATCTCGAATATTTTAATTTAATTTATGTGTTTTTAAAACGGATCGATCTGAGGATTTAGTAGTTGGTGTCATCTTGTGTTCCCCCAAGTTGTTAGCTGCCCATCGGTGTACCCCCATGTTTGTCTTTTTCGTCAGTTGGTCGCTTAGTTCGAGATAAAAAGCACATTGCTCTCCAAACCTTGTGTTCTCAATCCCTACCCTGCCATCCATTTGTTATAATTTGTTACCCCTAACCTCGAGATAGCCGCGAGTAATCGGCCCCCGCTTTACTAACGTTAGTTTTAAGAAATTTTGTCATCCAAACAATGAATATCGGCTCCGCAAAGCTACGGCAAATGAGCCTGGAAAAATAAATGCATTTAAAAAAAAAAACCTGTTTTTTAATTAATTTTTTTTTGCTGAAACTGTCCTTTTGCAGATCTTCCGTAGTTAATAAACTAGCATAGATTGTTTGGAAAGCATCTGAAAGTTGATTCTTTGAAGGCGCGCTGGTTAGTTCATTGTCAACAGTTTCATCTGTCGCTGAGTGATTTTGAACATCGATACTGCTGCTAGATGGCTGATCGTGGACAATACTGACTATGTATGTCATCGTCAGTCAAAGTCCTCCTTCACAAAGGTCGTCGTCAAAAGTCACGTTGTCTGGAATATACAAATTTTATAAATAATATTATTGAAACATTACATACATGTTTCTACCTCCAAATTAATCAATACCTTTCTCAGTGAGCATTTTAAATTTTCGAATTTTTCGATTATGTCCAGTTTATTCTGTAATTTGAATGCTTTTCTATTTTTTG